TGTATATTTGTGTATGTTTATGTCTACTTTGTCGTATGTACCTTTATGTATATGTCTGTATAACATACATATATGTGTGTAGTAGGCCTGGCACTGGGTCTCAACAGCAGTCCATCCAGTCACCCGCCGATGGCCCACCACCCCGAAGTCATGCAAGCTATGACTTCAAACCTCGAACCCAAAAGCGTGACAGGCTCACCCCAAAAGGGGTTTTAATTGAGGGTTTAGGGTAAGCTAAACCCACTTCGATTCAAAGGGGTTTAGGGTTAACTTTATGCTTGTTCCCTGGCAGCACAAAAAACCCTCAGGAGGTCCTGGCCGAGCTAATGCCTTCGGCGCCAAGTGATGAGGACCTCGGTGAGCTATTGCGACCAGCCAGAAGAGCTTGGTGAAGGGGTGGGTCTTGGGCCTTTCTAATTTTGAAGGGGGCTTCAAAGTCTTAATGGGTAGCAGGTGCAACAACTGTATGCTATGGACCCATACTGCTGCATCTCCCAGTTCGGATTGGAATATGTGTGTGAGGGAATGCAAATGGCAGGCATGACAAGCTGTAAGCACCTACCTTGTCAAGCCTCCTCGTCATGCTGCTACTTTCCTGCTGTTGAGGCCCACATCTGTGTAGAATCTTAGCCATGCCTTAAACCCGAGTCCATCGGAACCCTGTACCACAACCGCAAATCCTGCACCTTGCAGTTGTGAATCCAGCTGCAAGGCTCTGGGCCAACAAGAACGGACACAACCCGAAGGCTCTCGGGCCGAGTCGGGGTCGCAGGGAGGGCCAGCCCCAGCTCGCTTAGCGTTCAGGGCGATGCGAAGAATGGAGCGTTTCTAGGGGCTGAGTAGCCTTGAACCTTTTGGGTACTATCATTCCAAGCAAAGCCCAAAGGCTAACCTGTCGTTTCTAGAAAACTCCGTCCGCACTAAACATCCCACTCCTTGAGCTTTGGTCTTCGTCATCCTAAGCCATAACTGGGTCAAGACCCTAACCCTAAACCCTAAACCCTAAACCCTAAACCCTAAACCCTAAACCCTAAACCCTAAACCCTAAACCCTAAACCCTAAACCCTAAACCCTAAACCCTAAACCCATCCTGAGCCCACGTTGAATCCCCGAAGCCGTGGCCTAGGCCATCCTTGACATCCTTGGAGGGCTTTGGGGGGGCTTCGGGGTGGGTTTAGGGTTTAGGGTTTAGGGTTTAGGGTTTAGGGTTTAGGGTTTAGGGTTTAGGCTTTAGGGTTTCCGGTGTCCGGTTTAGGGTTTAGGGTTCAGGGTTCAGGGTTTTCCACAGGCCCCAGGATGGCAGTAGCCAGGTAGGCTCGGGATAGTTCACATGGTTCATGTGGGGGTTGACGACAATTAGAGGACCCCAAGTATAGACCCCACGCATAATAGTAGGATCCCCTGACAATGGGACCCCCAAAACGGTACCCCTAATATCGCAAACACCCCATGTTTTCGTTGTACCTGCTTTGCCAGCCGAGAGGTTCAGGGTGGTTAAAGGCTTGTTCCATAGTACAAGAAACCTAGAATAATGGACAAACTGCTCTCTGGTGCTTCCTCAGAAAGTGCTTGAAGAACTCAAAAGAAACCCCAGTCGCAACTACCCGAAGTTCGCAACGCTGCAGCTTTCACCGCGTTGCTTGCTTGGCCCCAGTGCCTGATGTGAATGGTGAATTGGCTTTTGAGGAGCTTAGGCTTAGGTGCAATGACTTGAGCAACAAATGGAGTCATGAGCTGGTGTCTCTAGTTTCCTATACGACCTGCAGCCTTTGAAGGGTTAGGAGGTTGGATATCCCAGGTTGCACCTCGCATGCACATGGCGCAGGCGATTCTGCAAGTACCACAGTTTCCGATGACCGCTCATCCGCTGACGGACGACTGGCGCAGACCTCAGCCAGTGGGAGCAAACCCTAATCCTTAATCCCTAACCCCTAAACCCCCCACCCCCTGCGCTCGGCGCGCCCAGGCAAAGAGCTGTGCAGCATCGCCAGCAGGTTTGTTCGCAGGCGCCATGAGAGTGCAGCCGTTCGTACCCCCCCCCTCTCCCATGAAGATGCGGAAGTTTACGAAAATACGGGAATAGACCCCAAATAGTAGGGTTCCGTTATAGTTATTGCCCCAATACGGTACACCCTGCTTTCGGACACCCCCATGCATTCCGCATAGGGTTGCTTGGGATCATCCTCCTTCTGGGGCTGTTTGTGACCTACCTTCAACGATTATTTTCATCCAGTCAGTGCTTTGCAAAAGAGTCTCAGTCGAGGTCGTTTTCCTTCAGATGCAAAGTGAGAAGTTCTGATATGTCTAAGTCCTGCCTGACAGTGGTTGCGAAGATGTTTGTCAACCTTGTGAGGCTTTACCTAGGGTTTTGGCGTGGTTTGTCACTGTGATCTGTTTCTAGACACTAGCCATCAGCAGTTTAGGATCCTGATCCATCAGACTGCTGGCCCACTGGTATACAGCCCATCCGCTGCCGATGACAGTTCCCCTGTATCTATCTGCAAGTCCAACGGTCAGCGCAGGTGGACGAGGCACTTGCCAGCGGCCGTCCCAAAGCCGAGTGTTTGGATTTGCGTCGGCCTTAGACTGCTTTCCTTGTTCGGGGCTTGAGTTCTTCGATCTGGAGGGGAACCTCCGGCGGTGGTTGCCTCATCTGGCAAGCCCCCACTACAGCTGCAATTACTGGATTCCAACTTGTGGAAATGAGAAAGAGAGAGGGAACGAGAACGTGTCACTCCGACTTCCTGACGAGACTCGGGCGCGCTCGTGTGCGAGCGTCAGAGTTAACGTCCCTGCCCCATCCCTGCTGCTGATGAAGAAGAAGCAGCAGAAGAAGAATAAGAAAGAAAAGCAGCAGAAGAAGAAGAAGAAGAAGAAGAAGAAGAAGAAGAAGAAGAAGAAGAAGAAGAAGAAGAAGAAGAAGAAGAAGAAGAAGAAGAAGAAGAAGAAGAAGAAGAAGAAGAAGAAGAAGAAGAAGAAGAAGAAGAAGCAGAGAGAATGGTTGCTGGAGTGTCATAGGGTCAGAGAGTCGGAGGGAAGAGTGGAGAGGAGCTAAAGCCCTGCTTTGTTCCGGGCAGCTTTTTTCTACTCGGAGCTTGCGAAGAAGAAGCGATCCTGAACCCTAAGCCCCAAACCCCAAACCCTTAACCCCAAACCCCAAACCCCAAACCCTAAACCCCAAACCCCAAACCCTAAACCCTAAACCCCAAGGCTTCTGAAGTTGATCGGAGAGAAGCAGCCTCGTGAAGAGCCGCAACTTGGTTGAGATGCCGAAGCCCTCTCCGGGTTTAGGGTTTAGGGTTTAGGGTTCTGGCGTGCCCAAATGGAGGTTTCCAAAAACTTGCCCCGGGGGGGGGGGGGGGGGGGGGGGTGGTACAAAAAATGAAGTATGGGTTCCTGATCTAAGGATTTGTTTGGTACCCCTGTTTGTTTTCGGAGATGATGCGCCCAAATCACGCAAAGTTCCATTGAATCAACCCCTAAACCCTGAACCCCTCTCTCCTGGAGTCCTGAGGACTGTCAGCAAGCACCGCTTCGCCACACGTGAGGAGGCCAGAAGCTCAAGGGGTTGTTACCCGCCCCTCCCCCTCCCCGTCCCGGGTCCCTCTTTGGGAAGGTGGCGATAAAGACATGTTCGGCTGGAAGGGGTGTATGCTGCACAGTTTTATGTACACGCACAATATAAGTATGTGTACACTACGTGCAGCCACGTCTATGCGTATGCATCACTTGGCTTATGCAACTACACATGCATCTCGTTTTTCCTGGGTATGATTTACTCTCTAATCTACTCGTTGCATCATCCGTGGGCTGTGATGAGCAGCACCGTATGTGTGTACATTGCACAAAATGCACACAATGACATCATGCACAATGCCTCATCCGTCCATCTCTTTGTTCTGCACAAAATCCCTCCCCTCACCTGCATTGGTACTCACTTCTCCTCCTGTCATGTTTGCTCGTCCACATCACCTTTTGGCTGTGATGACGCTAGTATCCTGGACTGTCAAGCACTGATTTGGAATATGTTTAGTATTATTCTTCTTCCTATCAGTAGTTTATATTTAGTTTCGCAGTCAGCTCAATGGACTGAGTCCTGTCATTGAATGTCCCGACGCGACGCTAAAGGTGTTGTGATAGTAATGAGGTAGGTCAGTGGTGTTAGTGCAAGCAGTTGCGGCTCGAGGGTGCTGCGCCCGCGAGTGCTCAGTAGCTGTGCTGTATTATAGATGTGTTAAAGAGCCTTCCTGTGGAGTAGTAGGCTTCCTGTTAAGGCTCCTTCGCGGCTCTCACAGGGAAAGCTGAAGAAAGAACACCGATACACCTCAATGCGCACTACATACCACATAGCCCTATGCCCTTCTACTCGAGTCCTCAAACCCGATGTGGACATGTCCCCGCGCAGGGAGCTCTTACCACAAGGCCCCTTATCAATAAGGCAAAATGACAACCACCAGAATGACCCCAACAGGGGGGACCAAATTCCACATCAAAAGGTTCGCCCTGAACTGAACAACTTCTACGACATACACCGCCGTTGATCTACTCCTGCCCGCCCTCATCAACTGCCCTGGAGAACCCCTACGTATTTGTTTGTTCAGGGCTACAAATCCTTGTAACCCCATGAAGCAGAGAGAGGTTTCGGTTGGTTGGCTCCTAACCAAACCCGAACTGCCCAACCGTCCCGAGCCTCAAATTACATGGTCAGTTCCGAACATGTTTTCGTTCGGGTGCTCTTAGCATATTCTGAGCATCATGGGCTATTTTAAAAGGAGCCCCAAATAGCCTGTATTTCAGAGAGCTCATCAGACGATCTACTTCGCAGATGAGTTGATTATACAGCGAATGCAACCCGGGGTTGCTCAACCAGGCCTCGGCCGCCGCTGCTTTGGCGCGGCGTGCGGCGGAGGAGCGGCAGACAGGCGAAGGTGGCGGTAAAGGCGGCGGCAAAGGAGGCGGCAAAGGCGGCAGCAAAGGCGGCGGCAAATGCGGCGGCAAATATGGCGGCAAAGGTGGAGACAAGGCCCGATGGGCTGGGGTTCTTGGCATCGACGTTTATGGTCGTTCCCATGTCTGATGCGATAGCAAGTGGTTCATGTGTCCTAATGCTCATCTTGTGCGCGAGGCTTCCGCTTTGAGAAGATAATCTCGCCACTCCTGGCATAAAAGGTTAGACGCCATGTAGACGAACACAGTACTGGAAGTCTGGCAGCTGGAGTCTATGTGCAGAGAACTCGCATCTCTTTATCATACGGCTCGCCGAGCGGTCGCCCTAAATCCTAAACCGCAAACCCTAAACCCTAAACCCTATCAACCCTAGACCCTAAACCCTTAACCCTTATGAGATTGCAGGGCGCCAAAGGCGACGCGCCAATCGAAAGTGACACGCCGCCACCCCAGCCCACGGCGGCCAAGACGAAGGCAGCGGGTGCACTGTTCCCAGAGACGTCAGTAAGGAGTATACCTCCTCGGGTTTAGGGTTTAGGGCTTAGGTTCAGGGTTCAGGGTTTAGGGTTTAGGGTCTATCACGGTTATGGGACTCTCAGGGTTCGTCCGTAATGCAACCGACATATGGCAGGACATAAGAAGCCGCCTCGCATCCCTAAACCCTAACACCCTAAACCCTCAACATTCTATCCCTAAAACCCTAAACCCCGAACCCGCCAATCCGCTCTGCACTTTGCCAAGAGATTTTCTGTCAGGATGTCACCCAGCAGGCCTTCAAACTGCAGCTCCGCGTGTGGCCTGGCCTCGGAAGTTTAGCAGTTCAGGAGTTTTGGAGTTTAGGAGTTCTATAGGAGTTTTTTTAGGGTTTAAGATTTAGGAGTTTAGGGTTTAGGGGTTTAGAAGGACTAGGGGTTCGCGGCGCCTGGTACTTGGGTCTCGTCAGGACTGCCCTTCGACGTAGGCTTTGAGGGGCTTTAGGGTTTAGGGTTTAGCGTTTAGGGTTTAGGGTTTAGGGGTGTGCACTACATCTCAGCATCAGAAGCATGAAACCAGTGCTTGTAGAGACTGAGTGGGTCCTTTGAGGTCTGGCGCATTGGTGGACGCTGATGACCATATGGATGTGGCGATCACCGTGGGATACTTCCAGGTTGGTAAGCTCAGATGGTTGAGGGAACTTGAGAACTTGAGGACCTTGAGAAAATCTCCCCCCTGGCATGACGAAAGCCACCTCGCACCAAGCGGAGCGGATTCCCTGACAGCCGGGCTGATACCCTCGCCGAGTTTCCGATCCTGCCCTGCCTAGAGGGGTTGGAATGCGATCACACGGAAGCTAGGTACCTAAAGCCAGGATTGGGCTGTAAGACACTGTAAGCTGCCCCAAGCTCCTCTCCGGCAGGATGAGAAGCCCACGTTGGTCAGCGACCTTCGGGCTGCCATCGCCGAGGAGACAGGCTCGGGCCTTGGGCGACGGACTGCATCGTGCTTGATGTTGAGGCGAACTCGGCTATCTCGATAAAGGCTTGATCTAAAGGGTTTATCTACAGTGCGAGCTCGGTCTGCAAGCGTTTTTTGGAAAAATCCGTAAAGTTTCGCGTGCCGAGAAAGGCCGGCGGAGATCAACCCCACCCCCTCGCTTTGTTAGCCACACGCTTGCCGGACCCAACGTGTACGTAGGCGTCAAATCCCCCCCACCCCCCTCCCCCCCCGCAGTACCACCTTAAACGCCGGAAGCCATGAGCATCCTCGACTCCAAGTCCACTTCTGTCTGAATATATTGAATATATCAGCTTTCATGCCACGGCCCAGCCTTCTTGGCCTGAGGGACCCACCCCGAGCAGCTTCGGATGGTCCTGCGAGGGGCAAAGCATCGCGACATGACCAGCGCTCTCGGCTGCAGTCGAGCCTTCTTGTTGTGGGCAGGTTTAGGGTTTAGGTTTAGGATTTAGGTTTTAGGGTTTAGGGGGAAGCTAACTTACGGCCGCTTGAGAGAGGTCAGGCCTGAAGCAGAAGGCATCGCTTGGTATGTAATGAGCGCGGGCTGGTCTTGGCAATCACTATTTATCAACAAGCCGCGCAAGACATGAGCAGATGTGCACATATTTGGCAGCTTGGCGGACAGTTTCTACGGCCTGCACTTGCTTTGTTATTGAACCTGGTAAGCCAACACCACAGAACTCTCACTCCTAACCCCACACCGCAATTTTTCGACATTGAAACTTGACAATTTCAATTTCCGACCCCAGACAGACTACAATATACCATAGTACAGTATATGTGACTTCATGTATGACGATTTTCCGCCTAGAACGCGGCCTTACCGACTTCACCCTGCACGACACCGAGCCCCTCATGGACTGGCACCTCGACGACACGGAGGTGCTGGTGGAGGCATGGTTCAATGAACCCTGCGTTCCCGAATTTTCCTAGACCCCTATAGACTTCCCTGAACTCTTCAAGCAGTTGCTACGGCCTCTCTCTACACATCTAAAAATGTGTCTTTCTTTCTTTCTTTCTTTCTGAGTGCTCATGACGGTGGTAGTAGGGATGGCTATGTGATAGTGCTCGTGACGATGCCCTTAACCTCTGGCGGATGGCGGAGGTTGGTTCATGGGGATAGTCAGATAGGTGGCAGCCGGGAAGAAGACCTTGTGCCTCATTGGCAGGTGAAGAAGAAGCAGCGCGCCGGAAAGAGCCTGCACCGTCCCGGAAACGGCTGGTTCAAGATCAAGAAGGGAGGCCGACAGCCCAACAGGGTCTGTTGCAGAGCCGCTCTCCTCAGATGCTAAGTTGTAGAGGGACAGCTCCAACGTTTCTGAATGGCTTTGTGAACTTGTGGAGTGTCTTGCTCTCTGAATCTGGAAGGACGAACATGCACCATGAATATCGCTGGTGCCATTGTGAAGCAGATGATCTTCTCGAAAGCCAACCAGTACAGCGTGACGGTGCCTGGGCACTTTGAGCTTGGACCTAGATCTCATGTTACTCCGGCACCGTTCTTCATTGTGTTGCATCATTTCCCAGTATCTCTCGGGCTGCAGCGTAGCTGCGTAGCTTCCCGAAGGACCCTGCAGCCTCATGCTCTTAACGCAAACTCATGCAAGAAAATGGCCGCCCAGGTGGAGGAGCCACGGCAGCTTGGACCTGCATGAGATGAGTTCCTGGTTCTGAAGGGCTTGTGAGGCCCCTAAACCCCGGGAGCCCGAGCTTCGTGACTCGAGGGGGTTTCGGGCTTCCGGAGACGAGGGTAGGGCATTTTTGGGGGATCTTTGAGGCTGGGCGACAGCAATCGGGGCTTTCACTCAGGATCTTCCCTCTGATCATGGAACTTTGTGATCACTACTGCGCAGACTCTCGGCCTTCAAGACCAACTGCCGTGAATGAGAGCTTTCTCAGTTGCCCTACTTCAATGGCGCCTTCCATTCCATCTGTTCAGGCAGTCTTGCCTGAGGGACCAACGTAACGAGCTTAAGAGCCGATCATAACCCCCCTATGGGTCTGAAGGAAGGTTGTTGTATTTTGGTCTCCACAGCAGACTGGTGCTGCCCGGCCGCTATCGACATGTAATGTTCCTGGCCAGTTGGCTGCAACGCCTGAGTTTTCACATTTGAAAAGGGGTCTTGTCTCATATTCCTTCAACATACCCCCAAAGACTATAATCCTCCTTATAGCAACCCTACCAGACAGGGCACCCCAAGTTGAGAAAGATCGTGGCACGCAGAAGTTGTTCTTGGTTCTTCACGGCGACGTGAAGGGTCGAGCGAACAACGCGCACTGTCAACTTTTCAGACTAGGCGAGATGGACACAGCCCGTCTCCGATTAGGCCATGACTGCCGATTGCAGAGCGCGATGCACCCAACTGCCCTTATTAGTCAAAAAAAATGTGATCAGCCTAATTGCACGCCACTCTGCAGCAAACCGTAAACCCAAGCTCCCGAAAGCCGAGACATGAACCCTAAGGCCCTAAGGCCTGAAAGCCAGTTTCAAGCCATGGGAGAGCGCACAAGAGAAGCCCTGAAAAACCCTGAAGCACCAGAAGAGCTACCCCACAAAAACATCGAGGTGACAAGCAAAGACAGAAGTCGGAGGGACCTACAGGGTTTAGGGTTTAGGGTTTAGGGTTTAGGGTTTAACCATCAGAGGCCCCTTGTGCCACCAAAGCCTACAAAACCTTCAAAGGACGCGGTGGTCCTGGCGGCCGCCGATGCCGATGCGCTGCCCGCGGAGGCCGAGGCCCACGGCTTCTCCGTGGAGGCCGTGTGATTTCCTTTAGGTTTCGAGAGGTTTCGAGAGGTTTGGAGAGGTTTGGAGAGGTTGAGAGAGGTTGAGAGAGGTTTGGAGAGGTTGAGAGAGGTTTCGAGTTTAGGGTTCAGACCCGGAGAACCCGATCCGATGAAACTCCAGGCCTTGCCCTGGTGCTTCTCATGTTGTGTAGATGCCCTGGATGCACCTAAAAGCTCTGGCGGGGCCGGTGGCTGCGCATTTGCTCGGCTTAGATCGGTATCGAACAGCTGGCCTTTCTCTTCTGTGACTAGGAATGGCGCAGGTTCTGGCTTGTAGAAGACCAAGGGCTTGAGCTTGAGCCCGAAATGGCGCGCGGCAAGGTTTAGGGGTTTGGGGTTTGGGGTTTTGGGTTTAGGGTTTAGGGTCCCTGCAGGCCGATGGTGATACGGGCGCACCTTGGCAGAGTCGAGCTTTGAAGGGCAACGACAGAGGGAACCGCAGATCCTCCATCCCCGAAGTCCTACAGGTCCGAAACCCTAATTGTAAAAAACGGGGCCTTGGTAAATAGATTTTTTGGGGGTACAATAAAAGTACAAGTATAGAGGGACCAGAAGGGAATGCGGCTAGTAATTCTTCCGACCTCCCGAGATTACAAGCCAACGATGCTCCCGGATATCGCCGAGGTCACCAAGCTGGTCTCTGCCCAGCGCCGGCTTACTGTAGTGTCGGAGCGTGACGATCCGGACTTTAGCAAGGACATGCTGCAGGCAAAGGGCCCTCTACCCTAAACCCCAAACCCTAAACCCCCCAATGGCCTGTGGTGACTTGTGATCCTCTGCGACTCTGACATGTGCGGTTTTAGCTTCGATTATTGCTCGGGCCTTAGCAGTTCCGATGTGCTGTAGTAGTGTGACTTGAAGGATGCCCTCCCTGTCTGGGGCATGTAGGATATTACATACTGCACATATCTACAAGTATAAACATAAACAGAAGCAAATACGTACATGAGAACTTAAGTGCCTTCGTCCGAACCCTTGTAAAGCCACGCTCGTACTTGTCAAAAGATGCCTGTGCCCGTGCAGCCTGGCTCAGAAAGAAATCATGACGGTGCATTGATGGTGCATTCGTACATCAGGAGGGATGGAGAGAAATAGAGAGAGAGAGAGAGAGAGAGAGAGACAGAGAGAGAGAGCGAGACAGATGGGGCGTCCTCCCTTCGGGGCGGTCATGCGTGGGGGAGAGAGAGAGAGAGAGAATACGAGAAAACCTGTGATCAAGATTCAAAAGGGCGGGGGTTCGGCACTAGCCAAAGCCTTCCGTCAAATGAAGCGGAAAGATCCAGCCCGCATATCTTCATGTCCAATGTATTGCATATGCGGTATATACCGCAAATACCATGCTTGGTCCCTGAGCTGCAGGGTTCTGAGATGTTCTGAACCAAGTGTCGTTCGGGGGCCGCGTGGGAAGGCGCACCCAAACCCTACCCGAACCCTCACCCGGGCAGGCCAGGCAGGATACAGGGCTTAGAGTTTGAATCTGCAGGGCACAGAAGATCCAGATCTGGAGAAGTTGCCGGCGGTTGTGCACGTGCCAGAAGAGGCAGGAGCGGACGGGAAGAACGCTCCCTGTGTGTTGTTGATGCATTGAACCCCGATGAGTCCGTTGGACGGATGTTTTAAGGGTTCAAGCCCCTGTAGATCGGATGTGTTATTTCTGAACAGGGCAGCCTGAACACAGCCTCACATTATGTATACACACATACACACACATATATATATATATTTATTTATATTTATATGTGTGTACAAATATGTATATATATATATATATATATATATATAGTTGTGATTGTTATTATTATCATGAAAAGTGCGAGTTTGGGGGATTTCTGAGGCCTTGCCGAAGTTTCGGATGACTCGAATTGTTGATGCAATTTTGGCGGAGGAAGGGGTGGGGGGGGGGGGGGGGTATGCTGAAGTGTTTTCCCGGATGGTTAACACAAGTTGAGGGACATTCTTTAACTACCCGTGTCAGCCTCGGCGCAATGCACTGCGCAGTTGCGTGGTTTCACTGCAAGATGCCCTTCACGTGCCTTCTTATTCGCGGTATAGCTGTCGAACGCCGGGGTCGGAAGACTGCAGATGTTACCAGTAGTTCGCTTGTGACGAGCCGGACAGTCTGACAAGCAACACAACCCTTGGTTCCTCAGCTGGGTTTAGGGTTTAGGGTTTAGGGTGTTGTCTTCAGGCCGTGGGGAGCAAGCTCATCTTCGTGCTCGGAGGGGACGTCTTGCGAGAGACGGGATCCCTTACGAAGGCCTCCTTGGCGGATGCTGGAATTTTAGGCTTTAGGGTTTAGGGTTTAGGGTTTAGGGTGGTTGCGTGTCAAACACGTCGCGTTCTTGATGGTTGGCCAAGAGACCTCGAGATGGGGGAGCTACTTCAAAACTTGATACAGCTAACACCTCGGAACAAAAAGCACTGTGTGGGGAACAGAGTGCACGACATAACTGAAACAGCACAGGCGCACGACTGAGAACGAGAACTGCCTCACAAGCCCCAAATCCTCCCCATGCCCTCACCCCATTATAAAACCCCATAAAACCCTATAAAACCCCATAAAACCCTACAAAATCCTACCAAACCCTATCAACCCTTATAAGACCCTAGAAGACCCTATAAGACCCTAGAGCCCGGAAGGTGATCCGAAGCCTTCGCCACCCATCCGGCGAGCTGCTGACGGTCTTCCACCTTGTTACAAGCACCAGGCGGGAAGACTTGGGGCTTGGGGGGGATGTAATTTGCTTGAAGCAGGGTTTATGTGTCTGTTATTGGTGAGGGTATATAAGGCTCCTTTTTTTATATTGGTGTACACATTGGGTTCAGTTGGGGATACAAGAAATATAGACCCTTCTTTATAGAGGGTTTCTTTGTAATAGAATTCCGGCTATGGGGGATGCAATTGTAGGGGCTTTTTCTGATCTGGCTCAATATGGATTTTTTTTGGCGTAGTAGATGGCATGAGTGGGGTTCAATCTGGTTCAACATCGTTGAATGTGCTTGAATTAGGGCTTGGGCGGTTGTAGGGGATTGCGGACGTGCACAAGCCCCCCTTCCCCCCCCCCTCCCCCCGCCTCCCCCCCTCCCATCGTGTCTCGGCTGTCGGGTGCGGGAGGGGGGAAGGCCACTCTACAGGGTGAGCTCAATATTCTGGGCTGGAAAGCAAGCCCGAGTTCCACCCTAAACCCTAAACCCTAAACCCTAAACCCTAAACCCTAAACCCTAAACCCTAAACCCTAGATGCTCGGGGCGGAGCCCTGAAGGTGCAGACCAAGCTTTCGGGGTTTCGAGGCTTCGAGGTTTTAGGGTTTAGGGTTTGGGGTTTGGGGTTTAGGGTTAGGGCTAAGGCTTGGCTCAGTGCTGAGGGTTTTGCAGTAGGGTCAGTGGGGGTTGCTAGTAGTGGTTTTGGAACCCTTGGAAGAAGCATATCGTGCTGAGTACTCATGGTAAGTAACCACACGGAAAGCCCCCCCAAGGGATCCCAATCTCAAACACCCTAAACCTTAAACCCTACACCCTAAACCCAAACTCTAAACTCTAAACCCTAAACCCTACACCCTAAACCCTAAACTCGAAGCCCCAAGCCCTAGCCGACAGGCACAAGCTCCATTTGCCATCCCTTGGCTTCGTGGTGCGCATGAGGGCCCCTTGGTCTTTTGTGCTGCGGTGCCGCGGGCGTTTGGTCTAAACTGTGGGTCCTTTAGTGGGGGGTTTAGGTTTTGGGGTTTGGGGTTTAGGGTTTAAGGTGTAGGCCTTAGGGTTTAGGGTTCAGGATTGCGCAAAGATGGGTCCGGAGTTGGGGGTCAGCCTCTGCATTGGTTGGGTAGCCATCTCCCATGCCCCCAATCCCAAGGTGGCAGAATTCAAGCCCTACCCCCAAAGCCCTCGAACGTCCTAAAGCCCGAAAATCGGACACTCCACTTGCCCTCAGACCCTGGCTAACCCTAGAACAGTTCTAGAGGACTTGCGCCTTGTGTCATCTACCGGTGCATCTTTGGAATCCAGCCCAAAACCCCATGAATCTGAAGTCATTCACGGGAAGCAGAGAAATGGTGTGGTTTAGGCACGTTCATCGGTTGCCGTCGATTGTTGCGGCGGAGCTCTGCGTCTGCTGAGTGATGTGAGGCGTGTCCTGTGTTGCCAGACCTGGTCCAGGTCCCGCCGGCAGTGAAGAAAGTACCTGTTAGCTTAAAGCCTGCTGGGTTGTTGCATGCCCACCCTTCGGTATGGTGGTGCCCCAAACCAAACCCTAAACTTGCCCTAAACCTTATACCCTAAACCCTAAACCCTAAACCCTAAACCCAGGTGGAAAGAGGGAGCGCTTTTGAAGCTTAGAGGGTCGTCCTAAGCCCAGCAGGGCGTCCAGATCCAAGGACCGCTTCGGCTGCGACATTCCGCAGCTGCCGGGCGCACTTCTGGTGCGGCTTTGGTTCAGGGTTTAGGGTTTAGGGTTTAGGGTTTAGGGTTTAGGGTTTAGGGTTTAGGGTTCATGGGTTCATGGGTTCATGGGTTTATGGGTTTTTGGGCTTTCGGTTTATGGGTTTATGGGTTTAGGGTTTAGGGTTTAGGGTCGTCAGGGGAAGCCCCCTAACCTGGGCTTCGACCCCCTCACCTCTGAAGGCAAGAGATAGCAAGTTCACATGGACGTCAGCATCTTCGAAGACTGCAGCATGGGGTTTGCTTACACCCTGTGAACCCGGGTTGCAAGTTGCATGCTTCTCGTTCCCCTGTTTAAGAAGTGTGTGTGCCAGGATCGCGTCCTGCCTCGGCCTGCCGAAACAGCAAGTGGCCCCTGCTAAGCAGGCCTGGGCGGACTGGTTTCCAGATTTTGGTTGTTTGCCATGTCTTGCTTTACCAGAGCTGGGTGTCTAAATAGATCAGAATGGATGCTGCTCAAGCTCGGTCGTATTCCTATCAATTCCTCTGTTGGTCCATATGCCGACGAAGAGCTGAGAACCAGAAAACAAGGCCCGACATGCTGAGCCGTCCAATTTGCTTTCCTAAGCCCAAAACCCACTTACGCTACTTCATCCTTCCGTTTCCACCTGATTCCACGTGGACCAGGTGGATGCGAGCCGCCTCAGACAGAGCGGACCTGAACCATCGTGCAGACATGTTTGACCCGCGCGGCTTGCTCTCTGTTTGGCAGCCTCATTGGCAGTTAAACATCTAGCTGCAAAATGGGGGGTTCGGGTTGCTGGGGATGTTTGAACCGTCGCTGTAACATAACTGAGATAATTAGGGCATCCACGACTGCAACTCATTGCAACTCCAAGGTGTATGGTTTCAGGGCTTCGGGTTTAGGGTTTGGGGTGTTGAGGAGGTGCCGGGCATGGAGCTTCCCAGACTGTACTTTGGGGCTACATGGAGGGGCTTTAGGGTTTAAGGGCTCACCCCAATGCTGCCCCCGAGGGCACACGGGGCCGCGTTCTGGGTGTTGGTTTCCCTGATAATGGCCATGGCATGAACTTGTCGTCCAAGGTTGATTGTCTTGAAATGCACTATGCCCTACTACATCGTAAACGACCTCACAAGTTGAGCTGCAATCTGCGCCCGAGTTTATTTCACAACACGGACAGAGATGGGCTTGTGTGGCACTCGGCATCTGGCAGGTGTCCTACCAGTAAAAGCCCCACGCAACTTGTACAGTGTACAGTGGATGCCCAGCATGACTCTGACTGTAGCGAGAAGCTGCGAGGGCTTCTTTGGCACAGTGTGTCTTGAAGAGATTGCCAGGCTTGTTGAACCGCTTGCTTTGTTACGTTCGGCCAGGCTTAGTGAGGGCCACATTCACGGGATATACGCGTTACTCAGGTGCTTAACAGGAAGGATTTCGAGGCAGCTGCCATAAGACCCTTGTGTAGAAGAGGCCGCCCGAACCATGTGAAGCTGGGATGAAGACATGATTAGCCAAGCTTCAGAAAATGATCAACTCCTGTTAAATGTTTAGAGATTGTTCGGTTCCGGTTTTGGCCTTGGCCTTTTTGGGGTGAATTTATACAAGAACCTGTTGGCACGAAGGGGGCAGCATGCAACACCCAATTCCCCCCCCCCCCCCCCCGCCCTTTGCTGCAGGACATCGTGGACAGCCTTCTCGATGTTTTCGAGAATGCGGTGGAGTTGACAGAAATGCCCTCCGGTCTAGAATTTTCTGGGCGAAGCAAGATAACAGGCTTTGACATGCAACGCATGCTAGAGAACGCTGGGGAGAGTGGGTCGACGGCGCTCTCTTCTTACCGTGAGACTCGCCAACCCCACATGTGGGCTCTGTTTCGAGTGTGGGAGGGCACTTGCCACTTTGCAACTCTCCCGATAAGTCGTCTGTACCACTAGACCCCTGAGCCTCCTCCTGTTTGCAGAGAATGCTGGATGGTGTCGTTCGTGGTAGTTCTTCGGCTTGTCTGTGTATCTTGATCCTCATGTCGGCGAATGGCTTGGTCTGTGCGGCATTTCAGGTACAAACATGTGTATATGGGATGCATCGCGGATGATTCACAGGCTTTTGCCTACGGAGTGGTGGCATCCTTACACCCGAAATTTCAGGCACTCAGCACCTGAGCCCAAACCCTAAAACGATAAGCCCGGCTAAACCCCTCCCTAAACCACCCCACGTAGTGCGGCTTCTGAACGGCTCCATGCTCCTCCTGGAGTGGACCCCGAGTAGAACCTAACCTCAAAAGTCTGATTTAGGGTTTAGGGTTTAGGGCTTAGGGTTTAGGGTTTAGGGCAAAGGTCCGCGGAGAGTGGCCGCACTTGACCCCTGTGCCCTTCAGATGCGTGGCAGGTACTTGAAGCCGATGATGAGCGGTTTCCAGCTCGGACGGCATGCTTGGCTCAGCCACGTAGTCGACCCTCACCCTAAACCTTAAAGGCATCCGTTGAAGCCCCTCATTTTCAAGGTGCCGCACTATATAGGACCCAAAAAGGGACCCTAGTTTGGGGAGATTACCCATACAACCATAAAAAATTAAAATATTTTGTTATATGCTACAAGTCTACAAGTAGCTCAGCCTTGAAGGCAACGATGAACTTGCTCTGGATGCGGGGCAAGGTTTTTGGTTAGGGTTTAGGGTTTACGGTTTAGGGTTTAGGGACAATCTAGACCACAGGCGTATGTCAGATGCAAAGAGGAAGGACGAGTCAACCCTTTTGTATTGTAAGATGGCCCACACGATTTAGAGCGCAGAACTGACTACAGGTGTTTTGGCAAAATCTAACTCCTTTCCAGCTGCTAGCTCAGGCTACGATGGCGAAGCAAACGTCGCAACCAGCGCGCGACCCTCAAGAAGGACTCAGGCTTTTGGAGGCTGAGTGTCTTGGCGTTGCGCAACCCACGCCCCTCTGGCAGCCATTCTGTTTGATTGCTGCCTGCGCTTTTAAGTTGATTGCTTCAGCACACGAAGATATGCAGGCCACCATGGCCAAGGCAAAGCGAGACATGTTGAAACTCACCCACAGCATCCTTTGAGACCTATGACACTGCCCACTTTAAGGCCAAAGAGCGCATCGTGGAGCTTCAAAGACGGCAGGCAGATTTGCAGGCACCACCTTTCTTGAACGGGGGGAAGGGCCGCTCCCATTTTTTGGGAGGTGAAGTCGTTGCACTTGCCCAGTGCAGTATGACTGGGTCACGTCGCAAAGTTGTGAAAGTTATGGTCTCTTTGTGGTTTGCCCTACCGTTTACTGGGCCATCTCATTGTTGAGTCGTTGCCCCCCCCCCCCCCCACCCCAAGCACCTGGAGACATGAACTGCTCAGGCACCGCCGGGAAACCCCTGAGACGCACAGGAGTGCATTTTTTTCGTAGCTATTTCCGTATGGCCTTGAGGCTTTTGGTGTGGCGACTGCAACCATGCGCTGTCCCCGCAACTTGAAGTGCCACCCGCCGTCAAGCGCTGATATCCCCCCCAAAGAGCTGTAGTCCTCTTATAGGAACAGCCACAAAGGGCACCCTTGTTTTGGCAACCCTCCCCACCCCACGCATAATGTCAGGTCTAATTTCAGGTCTGAACATTCTTGAGTTATCATCGTGGACCTGTTGCTTCGCTAGACGGATGGAGAAGGGTACAAGCAACGCTTGAACCCCCTTCCCCCCCCCCCGACCCGGCCGACCGAATTCAATGGGAGGCACACTTGGTCATCATGGGGCCATGCCAGGCCACTGACCTCAGTCCAGTTTGAACCCTCAACCCTGAGTTGCATCATGGGCTTCTTGTTGTGGCCCTGAACTTGCCGGAGATCAAGGGACCACGGGGTGCAGCCCAGATGTTTCGGTACAATGCAGCTATTGTGATCAAGTCACTACTTACATTGGATGATCCGGCCTCAGCTTGGGGTATTAGGGCTGCTGACGCATCGCACCTTCATGTACTATGGGTGCTTTAATGATTTCAATCGGTTTATACATATATATATATATATTATATTTTTTGGGGGGGGTTATACTGGGGTTATAGTATAACTATCTAGGGACGGGAATGCTATTAGGAATTATTTCGACCCGTACAGTACCTTCTGCAGATTCAGATAAGAACGGGAAGATGTAATGAAGATGTAGGTAGGATTCCAGACTGGTGCGGCCACTTGATCCAGCACCCGACCTTGGCGGCTTCCAATGCGATTCTTCAAGTAACACTGGCCATTCGGTCCATTTAAACCCTAATCCCTAAACCCTAAACCCTAAGTAAACCCTACTTATGCGGTCAGACGCAGGCTCATACAATCACAAGACACTCCAAGCCACTTGCCCTAGATCCTGAACGCCTTACGAAGCCCAGAGCCCTAGCGCCCTCAACCTTAAGCCTTAAACCCTCTTATAAATCCCAGACCCCATAAACCCTATAAAAAGTCCCATGAATCCTCTAAACCCTTAAAAACCCTGTAAGCCCTACAAGCCCTATATCCCAAACTCTGAACCCGATGACCTTTGTGAGCCTTGCAGCCCTCGGAGTGTTGCGAGGTAGGTAAGACATCTCTGACCGCCGCGGCCTCAGAGAATCTGTCGGCGTTGGGTGTGCAGTTTTTGTTTTTTTTGGGGGGGGAGGGGGGGATTTGGGGATGTGGAGTTCGTTGGGCTTTTTGCAGTATTTGGGGATTTGGAGTTCGCCGGGTTTGCAGTTTTTGGGGGGGTTTGGGGATTGGAGCTGGAGGGTTTGAGGTTTAGAAGGTTGCTTGGGAGACATGTAGACTTCCCTGTGGAAGTGGCACAACAGGCGTCACTCCTGCTTCTAGCCGATTCTGGTCTAGGTTTCTTGCATGAAGGAACCACGAACATCGAAACGATCGCGAACGAAGCTCCGCGAACCCCCAAGTTTCCTCGAAGCTCCACCCTCCACCCTCAACCCTAAACCCTGTGCCAGCGCCGAATCCCTGAATCCACCGAGTACTCCCTGGTGGGTTTCGCAGCACTGCCTCCCGCCGTGCCCTCCATGGTCATCACGCGCTGGGTCCGGGGGCCCCGGTGTTGAAAAAAGTCGAATTCTCGGAGAGACCTTGGGAATTTGGGAAAATCAGGTGGCTCCAAAAATAGACCCTCGAAGTGGTAGGATTCCCTTATAATTCGGAATTTCGGAAGACCCCCAATTGTGGGACGAAGTTCACCTTGCATTGACATGTGTTGTCCCGCTCCCTTTCGCTCCGTCCGTATACACACCCTTGGATAATCACCCACAAGTTTCTGTTGGGGGGAACCCTAAACCCTAAACCCTAAACCCTTTTTCCACAATCACCTTAGTAGTCTGGTGAAGACTCAGCAATCCTTGGCTCAAGCAATCGCCGCATCGACGATTCGCGCTTGTCATCCCCGTCAACGCCCGGAGCTTTGTTTGCTTTGGGGAAATTGGGTCTTGGTAGTTAACCTTGTATGGCTCTGTATAATCCTACTACAATAAAAGGTTAACCGTTTTTGGGCCAGGGGGGTATTCAGCCCCTACGGGGGGGCATTGGGTCTTAGGGGAAGTTTGGGGCGTTGGTTGGCAGTGCGGCGTTGGAGCTTAGTGGGCTTGGGGGGGGGGCTTCGCAGCTATCACCGAGAGCATCCAATGGCCCTCAGATGCTGTGGAGAGGGCAGTGCTGCCACTGACACTGTTTGCCATTCTGCTCTTGTCAGGCCTTCAAAGTCCTGTCTTCAAGAACCAGCAACGCTCGTCTGATCAACGTCGTATCTTCAACATCTCACTCTCACGGGGAAGCCCAAACCTGAGTCCTTAATTAAGCCACGCACAAACACAAGCCCATGCACGGTCACAACCCCGAGCCCCCCCAAGAAGCACCCCAAACCCTAAAATGCCCCTTAGGCCATGGCCGCAGCGACTCCCGAGAAGCCCGACGCCGTCGCCCCTGCCGCCCCAGCCCCTACCCCGGCCCCGGCCGCACCAGCCGCGCCAACACCGGCAGCCGAGGCTGAGGTCTGGCTAATCAAGGGGTCGGAATGCTTACTTGTAGTATTCCCTTATGGTTCCTTTACAAGTATACTATCAGAACCCCCCCCCCCCCAAAAAAAAAAAAGCAAACCCTGTTCTGATTGTTAAGGCCCCTAGAGGTCCAAGGCTCATCATATTTAATACAATGTGCATGTTGGGGATTCAGGTTGGAGGAACCTTGAGGGGTGCGGGGGTGCCTGGGAAAGCTGCAGGCGCCCAATGCCAAGTCCCAGTTGAAGGCAGCCGGGGCATGATCTCGTTCATGCAAGCGAGGGGAGTTTTGTTCTTTTTGGATGTGGCCGAAGCATCCGGACGATTTTGGGTTTAGGGTTTAGGGTTTCGGGTTTAGGGTTTAGGGTTGAAAGGGGCTAAGGCTTTTCTCGAGAGATGCAAGACGATCAGCCTGCAAATGGCTGTTAAGCTATGCACCGGATAGTTTCATGTGCGAATAGACTTGACAAGTTTTTGATTCCGGCCACCACCCTGAGATAGGCTCCCCGGCGGATAGCATGACCGTCATGCGGGCGCGCAGGCCGTGAAGTCTGAGCGCTCCGACCTCAACGTCGCCGTGAAGCCGAAGGCTTCTCTCTCTCTCTCTCTCTCTCTCTCTCTCTCTCTTTCTCTCCTAAATTGCAACAAGTGTCCATAAAACTAGGGTTTAGGGCACTTTGGGGATTAGGGTTCAGGTTTCTCTGAACACCAGGGTTTAGGGCTCGGGTTTAGATTTTGGGGATTAGGGTTCAGGTCTCTCTAAACACTATACATAATGTTCAACCCAGGCCTCAAGAACTCCATGTAGGATGTGGCAGCTTCGGCTGGGGAGTATAAGGGTAAAGGATGACTTACATTTGGGGGTCTGAAGCTGTGGCCCTTCAGGCTAATTATGAACAACAAGGCTTCCCAGAAATATTTCTACGTTGCTGGAGGCTGTCGATAGGAGTTCTTCAGAACCTCACTGCCTCTGTATACGCCAAAGCCTAAAAATTGAGAGTTCAAAGGGAGCTTATGGGAGCTTCGGAAAAGGTTTCTGAAGAAGCATGGCAGGCTTATGAGTGCTAAAGACACTGACGTCTTGGGGGTAGGGCTTGGGGCTTAGGGCTTAGTGTTGGGGTGCTGCGCAAGCGTGCAGAAATTTAGGGATGATTCTTGAGGGGTGATGAGGGTTTAGGGTTTAGGGTTTTGGGGTTTAGGGTTTGGGTTTAGGGGAGGGCTAGAGCTTGAGATTTACAGGCAGCTCCTTAACACCCTCAAAGCTCTAAGCCCTAAATCCGTGAAGCCCTAAACCCTGAACATCCCTGAGCCCTAAACCCTAAATTCCTAAATCCATCAATCCCTTCTTGAAGTTCAGAAACTGTACTTCTGAGCCCCTATAAGTCCTCTAAGTAGGTCATAGGTAGACTTCTAGTTGGGGGTATAAGTACCCATGAATCTCCAAGTTCCCCTCCAGGAGGAGGAGGCCGCGCCCACCCGCCTTGATGTCCTGCGTGGTGAAGGCGCCAAGGCCCAGCGGACGACTCTTTGGGAGACGATGCTTTGAACTGGCTTTGGGTGTGGGGGTTTAGGGTTTAGGGTTTAGGGGTTTAGGGTTTCGGGTTTAGGGGGTTTAGGGTTTAGATGGATTCCTAGTCAACTGCAGGGATTGGTCTCGAGATTCGGGGTTATTTTAAAGGTGCAGGGGTCAAGGGTTTTGGGATTTGGGTTTGAGGTTTTGGTTTTTTGAAGAGCCAACATTGACACTCGCATTCTTCCGTTCCGACTTTTTCAGACACAGAGCAAGCATCCAACTTTCCCTCACTCCGATCTGGAGAATGAACCGTCGATGCATGGGGGATGGGCAGTGTCGACTTTTTTCACTGCGGCGTTCGGTGTTGTCGGTTTCAAGCACGGTGCCCAGCCTATCCCTTACCCGACCTGCTGACGCTACTGCTGAGGCTCACAGTTGATTCTCGCACAGTTTGGGCTTTGGATGTGTCGATAAAAGTTATAATCACGGTACCTTACCTTTTCTGCACGCCCAAAGGAGTATGGCAACAAGCTCAGAAGATATGCTTGACATGGGCCGCGGTGAAGAGGGCTTCGGGCTTACGGGGATGTTTCTTTAACATCATGGTCTGGGTGTAGCGCAGACCCCATGCGCACTGACCCATGCTCGCCCGTAGCCTCAGTAGAAATATGGCAAATAAGGGGTGAGCCTCCAGATATTCATCGGCATGACAGGTCATCGCAGATGTGCGCGCCAAGGCAGTTGAGGAGCCTCTGGCATGGTTTGGAGTGGGGGGGGGGTTTAGGGTTTAGGGTTTAAGGAGTGAGGATGGTGATTTCGGCTAAGAACCCGCGAGGAATGGCAATGCATGCCCAGCAGTGGAACAACATTGAGGCATCATGGAGCCGCGGGGTTGTATATATGATTAGCTAAAGGGTTGTGACTTCATGGCAGCATCCCTATAGTGAGTAGTGGAATGTCTGCGCATCTCAAGCCCTCTGCCCAAAGACCCTCTGAACCCTTCAATTTTGGGAGGTTTCTCTGTAGTAAAAAGTTAGGGTATCTATAGTATTTGCTGACTATATGTATGTGCTAGCCGCATTTAAGAACCCACTCTACCCATGAACCTTCAAGACAAATCCTGAAAGACCGAACCCTCAAATCTGCAGCCCTCCCTCGACCCCTAAACCACTCAAACCCTACACCCTAAACCCTAAACCCTAAACCCTAAACCCCCAAAGTCGCGAGGTGGTGGAGCTGGCGGCTGTGAAGGCACAAACCGCCAAGGCCGAACGAATACAGAAGCCGAGAATGGAAAGTTTCCAGTTTGTTTCCCTTGGGATTGCGAAGGAGTCTACATGCCTTTGTAATCCCTGCAGAATGGTCATATCAACTACCCGAAATACAAATGCTTTGACCTTGACCCCCGCAAGTACCGTCCGGTAAGATACTGATGATATGAGAGCAGACTTGGAGGTTTTGGGGGTTTAGCCTGATCAGGCACGTAGAGGACCTGGAGCTTTCAGGATTCGGGCCCTGTGGAGTCAGACTTTGGGGGCTTCAATCGTAAGGGATTCAGTTTGTGGGGTTAGCATGCGCGTATGCTTCAGGATTTATGGGTTCAGGCTGGGCTTGGGGCGGAGTAGGAGATGCGCTGCAACAACTTTTCAAACAACATCTCTTTCTCTCAGCCAAGAGGATGCTTGCTCCTCAGATGATCCGTGCCCCCCAATCATTAAGGTCGGTGAGATAGGGTAATCTTGCGTGATGGGGATCCCAGCACTGCTGCACTCCCCCCCAAAAAAAAAAACCATAGTTGTGCCTCTTGTTTGGGCCTCATGTTGGGGGTAACGAAGATTCTCCCCTCACGAAGCTACCCAGAATTCCCATTCTACACCCTAAACCCTGGACCCAAAACCCTAAACCCTAAACCCTAAACCCGAAACCCTGCTTAGACAGAAGAAGGGTCGTATTTGGGGTCCGGGGTCCAGGTACGCGCGTTGGATTCGGTCCACTCCTTGCAGACCAAAGCTGGGCAGATCAGGCCCGCAGAGCGAGCAAGCATTGCTTTAGGGGTAGGGTTTAGGGTTTAGGGTTTAGGGTTTAGGGTTTAGGGTTTAGGGTTTAGGGTTTAGGGTTTAGGGTTTAGGGTTTAGGGTTTAGCGTTTAGGGTTTCGGGTTTAGGGTTTGGGGTTCAGCGTTCAGGGTTTAGGGTTTTGGGTTTAGTTTAAGGCCTAAGGTGGGATGCATTGAGAGGGCGGTAGCAATTCTGGGGCATGTCGCACTCCCCGCCCAGCTCCAGGCAATCCGTTGTCACCTCCGCCTCCGAGGCGAAGGCTGGATGCCGCCAGGGGTTGAACAAATCTTACTTCTATGGCTCTGATTATGGCTTTTATGGGCTGAAGAAACCTTACTTCTATGGCTCTTATTATGGCTTTTATGGATATTGTGATGACGGTCGGTAAGGGTAGAATTATGACGGCTGAAATGGCTATGATATGGTTACTCTTCGGCAGCCAAGCTATCTGTAAGGAATCTGTGACGACAGAGACGTCACAAGGGCTGGAACTTTAGATCAACCTCCAGGAGCAGTTTGTGGTGTTTCTGACCTCAAGTTTAGAACAAGGAGTTCATGGTGTCTTTGCATCCCAGCATAGAGCTGCTAGCTGTTAGTGTGCGGTCTTGACGAAGTCTAGCATGGGGATGAGGGTATGTTGGGAAGCACAACTTGGTGATAGCGCGGGCGTGAGCCCTGAACGTCGTGGGCTTCGTGTTAGTCTTGCATGGAGGCGGGCATGTCAGGTTCTACAACCACTCTTGATCTGATCGCTGTGGATAAAGGGCTGTGGCTTTTGTAGGTCCCGGCTCTGCCAGAAGAGAAAGCATGAAGTGCTCAGCTGATGTTGCAGATGCGCTTGGCAAGGATGCGGGTATGCACCGGGCACAGATGGCCAAGGAGGCGGTGGGTTAGGGCCTCAGGAAGCCTGGATCAGCAGACTTTAGATTCACTGCTAGGGCGTTTTAGGTCTGAGAGCATGGGACTGGCTTAGACCAAACCCTGTTCGTCACATTCGCCCCAGGTTTGTCAAATTGCCATGCGAAGGCTCGACTCTCTCCCAGAATCGTCTGGATGCTATGTGGTCTCATCTCGACACGAGATCAACCCCACCGCTTTGCTTCAGATATAGGAAGACGGTTTCTACAGGGTTCCTTCCTCATCGGGATCTCTCGCTAAGCCCTCAAGCCCTGAGGCCCCAAAACACTCAAAAGCCCACAACGCACCAGCACTACTATGGGGCCGGAATACTTCCCATAATAGGAATCCCTTATAATCCCTATATTTATCCTCTATTCCCCCCCCCCAAAAAAAAAACAAAAAGAGAACAAAAACACCCTGTGCGAAATTACTAAGGGCCCTCAGATGAGAGCCTCCAAGCGCCCAGGCGCCAGCTACACCTCCCTGCGCACCAATGGCTTGCGGCCCTGGGTCTCCGAGAATGTCTCCATGGCGAGGCCTCCTTTGAGAAGCCGCTTAGGGTTGAGGGTTTAGGGTTTAGGGTTTAGGGTTTAGGGTTTAGGGTTTAGGGTTTAGGGTTTAGGGTTTAGGGTTTAGGGTTTAGGGAGGCTTGAATAAGGCTGGGGCTTTCAGGGTTTTTTGCTGGGTCTCTTGGGGTCTGTAGGGCTTCTGTGGGTTTTTAGGGGCTTTTTGGGGTTTTAGGGCTTTTGGGGCTTTTAGGGCGTTTAGGGGAAACCCGAATCATAGAAGTCACATGCGCCAGGCTGCGGGGCATTACTGGCCTTGGGATTCTTCCAGTTGTTTTTCTTAGCCCTGATTTGAAGTTGGTCCTTGGGGAATTAGGTATCCTAACTGATGCCTTCAGAGGTGACATCTTGTGACCTCATTTTCCCAACTACCTACACCTTATACGTTGGGACTGGCTAGGAAACCTTTAACCTTTTTTGGTGTTCAGAATCCTACTGTATATAAAGGTTAACCTTTCTTGGGCTAGGGTATTCAGCCCCGAAGTATAAAGCCCTGAGATCTACACCCCCTGAGCGCTCAGGAGCTTGGTGGGGACCGCCGTGCAGAGCTCCCGCGCCGCAGCCATGCGTACCATGGCCTCAGGGGCTTACCTGAATGCTCCAATGTAGTTCCTTTTTCGGTTGGTTGGAGGGGATTCTAGTTTACTACCCCGAAGAGGTACTACCCCGAAGAGGTACTACATAGGAGCCTCTGGGTAGGCTTTGGGGGGGGTTTAGGGTTTGGGGGTGTTTGGGGTTTCGGGTGTAGGGTTTGTGGGGTTAGGGCGTAGGGTTGGTGGGCTTCAGAGTGTATTTTGGTTTCAGATTAAGCCTCAAGGCCGAGGGTTTGCGTTTTTGTCCGGCTTGCCTGCGGTGGGACACGTTGGGGCCAAAGCAATAGTAGGAATTCTGAGGCCTTCTCGGCCTTTTCGCAAAAGAAGATTCCATCACCAGAAGCCTAACACAGCTCCCCACTGTCAGCTGCCCGAATGCTCAAGATGCTCATCACCCCCATAGGATCCCAAGAGCACGGAACCCCGATCCGTTCAAGCGCCTTAGGGTTTTAGGGTTTAGGGATGTAGGGTTTAGGGGTGTAGGTTTTAGGGTATAGGGATGTAGGGTTTAGGGTTTAGTAAACACCCTTACGCGCGACATCTGCGCCGGTCATGAGGCCAGGTCCAGTGGTCGGTTGACTCGACCAAAGCCATGGCTCAGTCTGCCCCTGGGCGAATGAAGGGTTCAACCGGTTCAGGGTTTAGGGTTTAGGGTTTAGGGTTTAGGGTTTAGGGTTTAGGGTTTAGGGTTTAGGGTTTAGGGTTTAGGGCTACGAAACCAAGGGCCGCAAAACAGCCTTTTCTTCTGCACTTCACAAAGATCATTTCGCGCGAGTTCTGTTTTGCATTTCTTCACGTGTGCAGAGTTTGTATGAATGAACGAGCCAGGGGTGTAAAACGATTCGTGCATGTGTAGGAACAAAGACTCGGATTGAATGACTCAAGTGTCGAATCAATGTGTATTGTTTAACGGGTCGTAGTGCTGCCAACAGCCCGGTTAACCTATGTTGAGGCCTTGAGGGCGGGTTGTTAAAGCCCGAATATAACGTAGTGAGTGAGCGAACGGGCAAAAAGCTGCAGTAAAACTGGAACACCATGAGATTTGCACTTGATTTCTTGTTAAGACTTTTTCTCAACCCACCCCAAGCCACCAGCTTTCCAAAACTCCCATAAAGCCGTTCAAGGGATTTGCGGTGTAGGGTTGGGTAAAGGTTCTGGCGGGCTGTGAACTTAGTTCTAGTCTAGAGCCCTGGCCAGACAGCTCTCAGTGTGCACTGGCTCTCCCTCCCCATCTCCCTCTCTCTTTCTCTCCTTCTTGGGGCCTTTCATCTGAGGGTTTAAGCTTTCGGCCTTCTCTATTTAGGGGCCCCAACCCTGCATCCCACTAAACCTGAAACCCCAACCCCTAAAACTGCAAAATTTGCGGGGCCATCTGGCTCATCTTGGCCTGGGCAGATCCCACGTGTTTTGACAGCTGTGCCGCTCATCAGCCCGGCAACACCCCCTTCGTTGAATTCGAAGAATTGTCGTGCGATCTAATATGCCCTTGGGGGTTTCCGAAATTAGGGGTACCTTGTGGTGCTTAGTACTACTGTTTGCGGGTCTACATTTTTCGTAAACCCCGCCCTTAGCTTCAATTACCAGAGGCATGTTTAGGGCGAAGTAGGCGTTCTTGTGAGAGGTGAAGACTGCCATTCAGACCCGGGTGCTGAACACCAGAAAGGCCGTGATGGACACTTATGTCTGGGCCTCAGGTCCTTTTAAGGGGCTTAGGGGTTAGGGTTTAGGGTTTACAAAAACGCCAAGTATTCGGAACGATCGCCTTTGTGTGCATCTGTAGAGGCTGCAATTACATGGGTCGTGCGTTTAAACGCAACACGCGGCCAACGCTGGATTGTTCGCACAAGGCTTGCCCTTCCAGCATGAGCCTTCCCGGATAGCTGCGAGTACAATCGGCGGCGCTCCTGCGTAAGATGCCAAGTATACCCTGACCCTGTCCGTAAACCCTAAACCCTAAACTCTAAACCCTTAACCCCGAAACCCCCTAAGCCCCCTAAACCCCTAAACCCTGGTATTTGAAAGACGGCGTGCCTACTGTGTTGGCACATCGCGTCGCCAGGCCAAGGGGAAGAACAAGGCCGCAGCACGTCTGCATTTCAGAGATCACGGATAAACCAGACCTTTAGGGTGTAGGGCTTTAGGGCATCAGGGCTTTTGGGATTTAGGGGTTCAGGGTACAGGGCTTTAGGGTTTAGGGTTTAGAGCCCTGATGCCCGGATGGATATGTCGAGCTGCGCGCCCGAGCTGCGCGCTCGCAGCCAGCAGCACATACTACTCTTGAACCAGTTCTTTCCGACACTTCTGAACCCGAAACCCTAAGCCCTAAGCCCTAAACCCTCTTGCGCGCCGCTGACCTCAGGTGAACGCTGTTGACACTGCGAAGACCAAGGCCATTGAGGCGAAGGACAAGGCTAAGGAGGTGCACCAGTAAAGGGTTATTAGAATATTAAAATATGTGATCGTATCGTAAATTACTTTTTCTAGAATGACATTCTTATATTCTTACAGTAGTATATACGTATATATGATTTTTACGTGATCATACTATGGTTTTTGGGGAGGCTTACACTATACTGCACGTCCGTCGGGTTCGTGTGCCTCGGGTTCGTGTGCACGTCCGTCGGGCTCGTGCAAGGTTCTAGCATGATGCATACTTCCGCAAGTTGGGGTACCTTATTGGGGTCCTTATAAGGGGATCCTGCTATTTAGGTTTTTTTGGGGTTCCCCTGTTGTCGTAAACCCCCGTCTGACACAGTCGACACATGGGGAGGGCTTGTCCTACGGGCTCGTTTTCGTCTCTTGTGGCATCCCAAAAACTACAAAGACATGTTCTGTTAAGAGAGGCCTTATTGGGGTGTACGAAAATAGGGGATCCCCAATATAGATCCCACATAATAGGATTCCCTTACAATAATCAAGACCCCAAGAAGGTACCCCTAATTTCGGAAACTCCCCCCCCTCATTGATTCAGAATAGCCTCAGACATCCGCACGTCCCTGCTGCTTGTCGAGGTGGTCCACGACAAGCACGTGCAGGCATCTCACAGCCTGGGGGGTTCCTGATTCCTGATCCCCTTGATTTAGGGTTCTGAAGCGTTAAGGTTTTAATTGTTAGGGTTTAGGGTTGTCAATGAAGGCTGGGGCTTCAGGGAGGGGGATTCGGAATATCTCGGGTTGTGTGTGTGTGTGTGCGTGCGCGAGCGTGGCCCGTTGAAAAGTTCTTACGTCTGTTAATCACAACCTGTCTTCGCCCTGGACTGGCCACAACCCTAAACCCTAAACCCGAAACCCTAAACCCCAAACCCTAAACCCCAAACCCGAAACCCTAAA